AAGGGATTCATTGGAGCTCCCCAAGGAGCAAGAACCCTTATCAGTCTCATCACAGATTGATCAGGTGGTCGCCCAAGCCGACGCTCTGACATCTGATGAAGAAAGAGACAAACTTCGCCAAGTTCTTTTAAAATATGAAAAGTCATTTTCAACTGATTCAACAGATTGTGGGTTGACCTCACTCCACGCAGTGAGAATCCCAACCCCACCCAACGCACCGCCAACATTTGTCAGACAATACAAAATCCCTCTGGCAGCGTACCAGCCTGTCCAGGAGATCATTGATGACCTTTTGGTCAAAGGTATAATCAGACAATGTAATAGCACCTACTCTGCGCCTTTATGGCCAGTTTTAAAACCAAATGGTAAGTGGAGACTTACCATAGACTACAGAAAGCTAAATAAACAAGTACCTTTATCCAGGTGGCCAATGACTCAGCTCCATCAGGAACTGCCAAAGGTCACCGATGGTAAGTACTTCTCGACCCTCGATGTCGCCTCTGGTTTTTGGACCATCCCTGTGTGCACCGAGGACCAACACAAACTAGCTTTCACTTTTGCCAGCCGACAATACACCTTTACCAGGTGTCCCTTTGGCTATGCTAACTCACCTGCAGAGTTCAATATCTTTTGAACAAAGCATGTCCAGACGCCCACGAGCATGGGACATTGATCTACGTGGATGACATCCTTTTGAGGCAGCCAACACTGGATTCTCATTTGGCTGAGATCGACCACGTCCTAAATCAGCTAACAACTGCTGGTGCTAAAATCTCACTGTCAAAGTACCAGTGGTGCAAGACCAAGAAGGATTACGTTGGCCTCCTAGTAGGTCCAGACGGAATACAACCACAATTGACTCGCACCCAAGGCCTAGACAACCTCAAAGTCCCAACCAATCTCAAAGAACTACAGAGTTTCTTGGGAGTGTGTAATTACTCTCGCCAGTTCATAGAGCATTATGCGGATCTCGCAAAACCACTGACTGAACTCTTAAAGAAAGACGTTCCTTTTGTCTGGACTGATGCACAGCAGCAGGCAATGAACGCTCTTAAAGACAGGCTCAAGTTAGCCCCATGTCTAGTCTACCCAGACTACACCAAAGAGTTCTACTTGGAAGTGGGCTTCTCACCTCACTGCATGAGTGCAGGTCTGTACCAAATACACGACAAAGACAAGCGTGTTGTGGCCTACGCCAGCAAAACAATGGCAGGCCCTGAATTACGGTATTCAGACTGTGAGAAGGCTCTATTGACCACTGTGTGGGCAGTGAAACATTTCTCCTGCTATATTGGTGGACAGAGGATCATTGTTGAGACACAACACCAGCCAGTAACGTTTCTGAACAGCCAACGCATCAGAGATGGTGTGGTGACAAACTCACGTGTTGCAACCTGGCTTATGGCACTTCAAAGTTTTAACCTAGACATCCGCTACGGTCAAAATAAGAAGTCGCACTTGGGCACTGATTTGGCAATATGCCAAGAATGTACACAGGATGTACCAGCCACCCAACAGCCGGTTGTGAGCAAGCCCTCAGCTGCTGAGGACCCAAATCACCACTTCTTTGATGGCAATATCTGTAAAGATATGGCGACATTGTACGTGGATGGATGTTCATTCCACCACGAGAAAATCTGCAAAGCAGGTGTTGGAGGAGTTCTCCTCCAGGACCTAGAACAGGTCACGTTTGGCTATAAATTGGGCTCTCGGTCTTCTCAGTACGCTGAGATAGCTGCAATCCTAATAGGCCTACAGATGGCAGTGGAACGCTCCATCCAGACGCTAGTCATCTGCACTGACTCTAACTATGCTCGACTGAGTTTCTTGTGTCATCTCGCTCTGTGGAAACAGAACGGTTTTCTCACAAGCAACAAGAAGGTGGTAAAACACAAAGAGCTTTTCATGACATGTGATCACTTGGTGACATCACATGATCTACAGATCTTCTGGAAGAAAGTTCCAGGACACTCCAGAGTCCCAGGCGATGACAAGCACTACAATGACCTTGCAGACTCCCTTGCCAAAGAAGGAGCCATTGACGGACCCACGTGGTCCTTTGACCCCTCCTGGCTACTCAACACTCAGTCGTCACAAGCTACAACTGAGGTAATGGCAGTCACACGCGCACAAGCTGCAGCTAAACCTGCTGATAACACGGTTTCTGTGCGCCCGATGTTGACTGACCCAGACATCATCCAACTTCAGAAGTTGGATCCTGCAAATAACTCGATGATGCTGTATCTGACTGACCCAGACAAATACACTCCAT